GGTGGCGGCGCGTGCAGTCTGGGAGCAGAAGCAAGGCAGGTGTTTAACTACGGTGCTGGCGCTGAGATATATCACGCGATCCAGCCATTGTCGCCGTGCCTGCTCTGCTCGTTGAATGGCGTCGTTTCCTCAAGAAAGATGGCACGCCCATCGGCCGCCTGTAGAAGTTTTGGGCTCGCACATCTGCTCGTGTCATGTCCATTCCAACCAAGCGTCGCTGGTGCAATGCTACAAGGACCAATTTCTGCTATCATCACCTCCCTCGCCTCCCTTGGGTGGGACACTCCTGGGCTCCTCGAGTGGCACGATCCATTGAAGGGCGTTGAGAGGCCCCCGTGCAAGATCCCTCCGCTCTCGCTGCTCAGACCCATTGGTCCGCGGCCAGGCCCCGCGGTAACGTGTCCATGGGGTCGCATGTCCATCGTCAGAATCGCGCTTCGGTGTCCAGGCCGTGAGGGCCCGCATGTGGATATGCTTGTCGCTCGTGAAGTTGCTCCTCCTCCTCCTCCTCTTCCAAGCCATTTCCAAGTTTCGCGCTGATTGCAAACCTTCAGGCCAGCGCTCTTGGAAGCGGCGCAGCTGGTCCGAGCCAACCGTGAACCTTTGCCCATGTGTTCTCACGGCACCTACAGAGAGGAACAAAAGCATCGGTCTGTTCCCACAAAGGGGTGTGGATTCGGGAACACGCCGTGATTGTAGCCAGCGTGCGCCTCAGCGGGGCGGAGCATAATCAGCGCCACAAGAAAACACGCCGCGTTGCCAGCAAGGCTTTTCGAGGGAGAGAGGCAGGTGCTCAGCGCCATCACGAGGGACCCCCCCCACGGCAGCGGCGCTTTGGGGGGCTCGGCTGTGACGGGTTGTCCGATCACAGGTTTCCCGGCTTGCGCGCGCCTGCCCTCGGAGCCGAAGGTCGCCTTCCAGCCGGCACCTCTGTTGGCCCGAGACTTCGTGCTTCCCCTCGAGGCTCGAGGGGCCTTTCGGGATCCATCTGTGGGTTCATTCTTCGGAGGTCATGGAACCTTTGTCCCTGGCGGCCGCGTCGGCCCCCCCTGGGGGGGGCCTCTGGAGGCCTGCTGGAGCGCTGGTCGCCCCCTTCGTTCTCGCTTCCGTCCCTGGGCCCAACGCGCTGACCCTGCAGAAGCCATGCTGCTGTGGATGGCCCGAGTCGGCACCGGCCTGCCGACGGCCTTCTCCTTGGTCCAGGGCGTCGAGTGCTCCCTCCTTGAATCTTCTTCTGGATCCTGCTGGGAGCGCGGTCGAGAGGCCTCCCTGGATGCCTCTGACCTGCATGCCTCGAGTCGCAATTCTGGCGCCCAGGAGGCACCCCTGCGTTGGGGCCCTCTGTACAAGCTTCTCGGCAAGGTCCCATCGGGCGCCCGGGGGCCCCGCCGAAAAAGTGCGTTGAGGCCCTTGGTCGGAAAGCAGTCGCTGGCCGCGGGCTCGTCTGTGTTCGGTCACGGCAGGAGTATGAATGACAAATGTTGCCTCTGTGTGGGAGCCAGAGGTGCGCTGTTTCATAGATGCTACGAGTGTCCCTGCCTGGCCCAGCTCAGGAGGGAGGAGTGGTCCGCCTTCCTGTGTGGAGGCTGCCAAACCAGTCAGGGACAAGTGCGGTGAGCTACGTGCGCTGCTCTTCTGTCGCCACCTCTTCCCCGGCCCCTCCCGCCTCCCGCTCCTTCCCCGGGGCCAAGCCCCAGCAAGAGCACCTTCGGAGATGGGTTGGTGCGCCAGTGGGGTGGAGGTTTTCTGGAGCTGTGTTCGTGGACGGGAGCTTGTGCCACACGCCCTTCTCTGGCCACAGTCGAGCGGGCTGGTCCACTACGCTTCTGGACAGAGCTGTTCAACTTCAAGCGGCCGTTTACGGCTTTGCTCCTCCCCGTCTGGCCCCTGGCTTAGTCGGCGCGGGGCGGTGAACATTGCTCGTTTCATGTCCTCTCCCAGGCTGCTGAATGGAACTCGGAGGACTCTCTTGTGGCATATTCGGATTGTCTCGGTTCGATAGGTGCCGCTCTGGATCCTGGAATCGCCCCGGGCTCTGGCAACCCTCGGAAGCGCCTTTAGGAATCCTGGTGGGACGGCATAAGGCGGCCGTGCCCAAGTGCACAAAGTCAGGGCGTACGTTGCCCTGCAGTTGGCGTCGGACGATTTTGAGGCCTGGCGCATGAAAGGTGACCGCCTTGCTGACATACGGGCTAAGAAGGGCGCAAAGCACTGGGCCGCCCCCTCCCAAAAAAAAGAACAGGTGCTATATACTCGTGGGAGGGATCGAGACCATGGCTTTGGCAGCCTGTCGCTGGCGCGCTCGCGCGCAGGCAGCCTTTGGGGCTGCTGAATTCGTAGGCTATGCGGGCATTGCTGGCACCTCTGACGCGTCGTTTGATATCGGTGGCCCTGCATACCCCCTCCGCGAATACCTGCTGCAGGAGGGTGCTCGGAAGCGGGTTGAGCCCTTCCAGAGAGGGGTTTGTCGTCCCTCGCCCCCTGCTCCTCCCCCTGCTGAGTCTGAGTATGCCGGTGGCTCTGCCGCCGCCTCCTCGGCCCCAGTGCAAGATCTTCTCGGCTTTGGAGGTGCCCCATGGAGTTTCAATGGACGCTCTGTTGTGGACGCCCCTGTGGAGCCGCTCCCTGACGATGACGCCGTCGAAGAAGGCCTGCGCCTTCGGGTGCCAGGTTCTGGAGCAGGGGCAAAGGACTCGGCGCCCGGTGTCTCGGCAAGGGACTCAGGACCCAGAGAGCCCGACTCGGGAAGCTGGAGTACCTTGGCAAGTGTAACGCCCGACTCGGACGGGTCCGCGCGCCCTCGCAGGCGCTCATGGACCATTGGTCGAACGTGCTGCCGTCGCTAGACGGCACCGAAGACGGGGGCGGGGAGTGCTCGGTGGCGGAGGGGGGTGGGTATTGTCTCGCCTTGCCGCCACCGCTGATTGATTTTGAGATTGCGAATCTACACGTTGGTGTTGATGCCTCCGCCGTCGTTACATCTGCCAGCGAACAGCGGTGTGTCCGTAGGGTCCATCTCCTCCTCGACCTCCTCCTCCTCCTCCTCGTTCTCCTCCTCCACCTCCTCCTCCTCCTCCTCGTCCTCCTCCTCCTCCTCCTGCTTCTCCTCCCCCTCCTCCTGCTGCTCCTCCTCCCCCTCCTCCTCCTCCTCCTCCTCCTCCTCCTCCTCCTCCTCCTCCTCCTCCTCCTCCTCCTTCCGCGGAAAGGGGTCGTCGAGGGCGTCGGGGGCGCCATGCTCAGACGGGTGAAGACCAAGGGTCGGCGGCGAGCGATGGGGGAGACGTGAGAAGGAAAAGGCCCGAGAAGGCCTTCTTAAAAGGCGGCGGGGCTTCCGGCCTTCTGGGAAGTTTTCCGTGTCTTCGGGGAAGGCTTGTAGAATTCGTCAGGAGGAATGGGGGGCTTCCGAGCCTTCTGAGGAGGCCCTCCCCTTCGCACGTCCCGCCCAGGTTCGCCCCCAGGATTTCATGGCCGAGGCCATGCGGTTCGGTAGCAAATCATGGGAGCCTGGTATGCCCCCTTGATTCCGTCAGCGTCGATTAGCGCCGACTAGCGTCTCGAAGTCTATGAGACAGCGCCGATTTAGCGTCGGCCAGCGTCGATCAGCGTCGATTTAGCGTCGATTTAGTGTCGATTTGCGTCGATCCACAAGAGCCGACAGGATGGTACGGAAGGCCCCCTATGGGCTGCCACCGAGCATGGGATCTCACAGCTTTTCGTGGCCTCGGTCTTTCTGCGCGCTCTCGGGCCCGCCCCACCCGTCCGCGCACGTGCCCCTCGGGCCACGAGGCGCCCGCCCCCCGGTCCCTGGCCCCCCGCTTCGGCGCACACAGGGGCCGGAAGTGAGGACGTTCATCACCACCTACCAGACCACCCCAACCCAACCCGAAGGCTTCAATTTGCCCTCCATTTCCAGTGGGGGGGGGGTCGGGGAACGTCGAAAAAACACATGGAACCCGTACCCCCCCCCAACCCGAAATTCGGGTCAAATTCGGGTCTTCGGGTTGGGTTGGGGTGGTTTGGTAGGTAGTCAGTTCAGATTTTTACGGGCGCCAAGGACGGGGGCACAGCAAGCAAAGGCACGGGGAGCGCCGACCTCCACGTTCGGCTATGCCCCCGTGTAATTCGGGGGCCCTGGGCGCCGCAGACGGGGGCACAATGAACGGGGGCAGGCGGAAAAGCCTAAGCCCCCGTTGAGCTGAACCCCCCGTGTCCGCAGCCCGAGAGCTTCGAGGTTCCGGGAACGGTGGGGACGAGGGCCCCCCGGGGTTCCCCTCCTGAGCCCAGCGGGCTGCGGCAGGAACCCGTCGGCATCGCGCCCCCACTGCCTGCCAGGCGGCCCAGATGCCCCCCCCCCCCCCGTAGGGCTCTTGCGTCCGTTCCGCGGCGTAGCGGGGCGTGGACGCCGAGCGGGCTCCCGATGGAGGAAGGAGAAGAGGCCGTCTCTCGCTTTTCCCGCGGGGTCGGAGCCGGATGCGCGTCATGGCGCCAGGCACGGGCGACGAGCGAAGCAGAGCCCTCACGCCCAGAGCGCCGCCTTTTCGCAACCGAAGCCCAGTAGCGCGAGCCGTGCGGAAGAAGGGCTGAAAGGGTCGAGGGGCTGAAGGGTCGAGGGGCTCAGGCATCGAAGGATGCCGAAGGGTCGAAGGATTCGAGGGATTCGAGGGCCGAAGCGCTGCAGGGGCCTTGGGACAGGGGGGGGGGGGGGGGGGGGGGGGCGAGGCGGCCCGAGCGGGGGACGGCCGCCGGCACCCGTCTCTCTTGAGCTCTGAGCGAGGCCCGTGGGCGCGCGGCGCCCCCCCCCCCCCCCCCGCGCGTGGAGGGTTCCGAGCCGCCACAGGCCGCAGCGACGTGCGCAGGACCTTCAAGCCGACTCGCCGCAGCGATGCACGTGTGCCCACAGCCCAGGCGAGCCGTACAGCAGGGGCCCGACCTCGAGGAGCCTCCCGCAAGAAGCCCAGCCCTGAGACCCCAGGACGTGCATCGCTTTTTGGTGTGGGAGCGTCAAGCTTTCCATGGCAGAGCCCCCGAAACCCAGCAAACCCAGGGCACCCTGGAGGCGAGCAGGGTGTTCCCTGGCATGGGCCTCCGCTGTGACTGTGACCAGGGGGGGGGCTGTGGTTCTTGCCCCCCTGGGGGACCCGTCGGCTCCCACGCCCCCCTCGCCAGATCGTCCACGCGAGGGGACCCCAAGGGTCGTGCCAAGGGATTGGGCTCCCCGAGTCGTGGCTGGCAGGCAGCCGGCGGCTCCTCTTGATGAGGAGAGGGTGGGGCAGAGGGGAGGACCACTTCCTCGGGGACCCCGACGTGCTGCACGCCGCCGCCCTGGCCATGGGCATCGCCGCCATCGGCCTGGGCAAGCGGCTGCCGCAGCTGCTCGCCGCGGTGTCCGCCACGACCCTGGGCATCTACGTCGGCCTGGTCGTCCAGAACCGGCAGCACTTCGACGAGCCCGTGTTCGGCACGGTGGACCTCCCTGATGGCGTCTGGCTCCCCATCGTCTTGGGCGTGGTGGCCGGGGCCGCGGCGGGGGTCCTGGCCTACCTCACCTGGAGAATGGCCCTGGTGCTCCTGA